TTGAAATTAATTTCATATATTTGGAATTCATGGTCTCAAATCTCAAATACAAAGTATTATAAGCATCTTGTAACTCATCAAAAGAATAAGAATTTAATTCATTTGAGCTAGAAGATACCTCGGGCTCTTCAAGGGCCATTAAAGACACTACCTTTGTTGGTTCTTCTTTCTTGTTTCCATGGATTTCCTCGAGCTTATTCCAAAGCTCCTTTGCATTCGAACAAGAAGAAACTCCTTCATAGATATCTATACCAAATGCACAAAACAACATGTGCATGGCCTTGGCATTTTGTTGAGCTTTCTTTCGTTCTTGGTCAATCCACTTCTTATCCTTCTTTGGAGAAGAGTATCCTCTCTCGATCATCTCCCATGCATCAAGATCATTGGCTTGGATAAATAACTTCATTAATTTCTTCCAATGATGATAGTTCGCTCTATTGAAGTATGGGGGCTTGTCGGTTGGTATGGAGTCTTCCATATGGAACGAACCGGAGGTAGAAGCCATCTTCTCGGTTGTATCGGGAATTGGTAGAGCTTCTTTGAGGATCATCTCAAGGTGGTTAAACCTTCTTAACGAGTTAAGCTCTGATGCCAATTGTTGGGATTTTCGGAAGCTCGAATCGACAACCAGAATTGCTTGCAAAGAGGGTCAGGATCGGTTTTTCTGTTTAGGGAGTAAGGAGATTAAAAGATAGAGAATGGCACAGCGATTTAGAGTGGTTCGACTTCTCAACCAAGTCTACATCCACTACCTTAGCTCCTCACCAAGGATTTTCCAACAAATTCACTAATTTGTTCTTTCTTTTGAGGACAAAGAGTAACCTTACAAACTCCCTAGTTTTTTCGGGCTAAACTAGAACCTTTCCCTAGCTTTTACATGGGATAAGCTAGAACCTTTCTCCTTTATAAAAGGATAAAATAAGTAAACAAGAAAACCTCTCTAAGGTAGGTGTTTACAAGATTGAGCTCACAAGAACAAAATATTTACAAGAGAAAGATGAAATAAGATTGAAAAACTCTTCTCTTGTGTTTGATTGCTTGGATAGTTGTTCTCTTACTTATTCAAGTGTCGTTAGCTTGTATTTATAGCTTGAAATGTGTTTGATGTTGTATATAGCTGTTGAGGATGTTTTGGAGCCGTTTGGGGATGATTTTTCTACTAAAAAAGGCTGCCCATAACATGGTGCATCGGTGCACTATCAAAGTGCATCGATACCCCTTCATTAAATTCAAATAAACTAGTCGTTACTAGCTGTTGCAGCCTTTGTGCATGGATGCACAGCAGGATGCATCGATGCACAACCTTGATGCATCGATGCACTAATTGCATTCGGTGTTTGAGTGCATGGATGCACTTCATGGTGCATCGATGCACTAGTGCATGTGCATGGATGCACTAGTGCAGGGGCATGGATGCACTGCAGGGATGCATTGCAGGGGTGCATGGATGCACTTTGACACCCTTTAGTATTTTGGCTCAAATCCGAATTTAATGGACTTTGAATTATTTTTGAAACCTTTTAAAATTTTGAATAAATTCAATTAAGTCCAAAAACATTTTGTAAATTCAATTCAAGTCCAAAAACCATTTTGCCTTAAATTGTTATATCAAAACATAATTCAACACAAAGCCACAACATTATGGTCTGAAATTGATTTTGGTAATAACCTCTGAACAACATCCGGGAATAATCCTAAAAAATCGTCTGAAACAAGAAACCTATCCAACCTCACAAACGTAGGAACTTCCCTATTATTACCCCAAGTGAAACTCCCTCCCACCAAAGGCATATCCATTAAATTTGCTTGAAACAAAAATTCCCTGAACCATGCAATTGAGTTCTCATTCAGTGATTTCCCCAACTTCTCTTCTTGAGACAAATGAGTGTTAAAGTCTCCAACTACACATAATGGGCATCCCAATGAGGAAATAAAACAGGTTAACTCCTCAAAAAATGCTTCTTTATCAGCTTCAACTGAGGGCCCGTAAACATTAATAAAACAACATACCTCTTGGTTCACCTTAATTGTACCCTTCAAAGCTATAAACCTTGGAGAAATCTTCACCAACTGTGGTACAAACCAGTCCTCATCCCACAGAGTAACCAAACCCCCTGATGTTCCCACCGCCGGAGACTCCACCAACCCACCTAAGTATTTACCCCCCAACTTCCTTCTTATACCTATATTAATCACCTCCAATTTCGATTCTTGCAGAAAAAGAAAAGATGGTTTCTTATCTACAACCACCTTCCTCACCATCCTAGCCTTTTCCTTCCTACCTAAACCCCTAATATTCCAAGTGACACAAGATACACGAACCATAACAAATAATTAGAAACCTTCAACCAAAAAAGGGTTAATACCCACCATTCTCCCTCCTAGCCGAATTAGACTCCGAATATTTCTCAGCAAAATCCTTCTTTCCCCCCTTAAAGTTAACACCTAATATTTGGCTAACCTGCCAAGTTAATTCCATTTCATCTTTATCAATCGAAAATTCAACTTCTGAAAAATCCTTCTCCGATTCACCTCTTCTACTCTTCTTAGTAGACCTGCTGTAAACTCTGTCAGAGAAAATGGTAGCAGTACTATTAGGCCGAATTCGATTTGTTAGAGGGGAAGAAGAACATCTCCTTTTAGGAACTTTATTAACTTACACCCCATTCGATCCAAACTGAATTGCTGCATAATCTAACACTGATCCCTCCAAAACAGGTTGCTGCAGATCTCTACCTTTCCCTCTAATATCAACTAACTCATCAGGCTTGTAACCACCTCTATATGAACTTGGACTTCCCTGAATGGGCCCATTTACTTCTACCCTACCCATGGTATCATTAAGCCCATTCACTTGGTCAACAATATCAAGCCCCAAGGAGACCTCACCCCTATTAACCACCCATTCTCTCTCTTCTGTACCAACCCCCAGCCTTCTCTACTCTCCCTGGACATCACCCAGAACTGTTTCCTTAGTAATTCATCAACTGCCACTAAATTTTGAAAAACCCCTTTTCCTACCAACCGCCTATCGAAATTTGTGCGCTCCCCTTGTGAAGAGTCCAAAACCTATGCTTGTACACTATTTTGAATATCTGACACCGAATGGATACCCAACCTCCCTTCCTGCTCTTCAAAGTCATCCCCACTGCTCTCTTCCGACAAGTTATCCTCCTCATTATTTATTATTCCGTCATCTTCAACTATATCCTCTAACTCCGGAAAAAAATCATCACTTCCTTCCACCTTAATCTTAATCATGAACGATCTCCCATACGTATTTATAATGACATGGCGAAGAATATCAAAGGGACTTTCAACCCTCAATAACATATGAGCTACTCTACAATCCACTCTGTTAGCAGTTTGTTCATGTATCTTAACTAGTTTGCCCCATTTCGACACCAAACTTGTGAAGAAATGAACTGACCAACAATTTAGAGGAACACCAATCATAGAAACTGCACAGTAAGGTAATGGCACACCCTCTTCTTCCATAACATGCTCCAACCTCTCGAACCAAAGGACAAAGCCTCCCACTTGTTTTCCATCGTTGCAACTTTCTCCTCAACAGTCTGGAAAACTACCAGACATGCTTTTTTTGCTTAACCCCATTAAACCACTTTGACATTGATTCCCTCAGTTCTTAACGCCCTCTGCACAAACTCAACTTCGAATAATGGCTTACAAATACCAGTTAACGACGATCTCAGCCATGATCTATCCTCCATTGGAATAAAAACTTCCAACTGCTTCTTCACCTCCTTCTTAGCTCCAAAAATCCCCACTTTCTGGCCCTTAACTTCTTTTGCACCCACAACCGTCTCCTTGTATGAGCTTCTATTGTAAAACTTATTCATCATCTCCTTCTTTCCAGTACCTGCAGCTTGAGATGATGGTAGTTTCCTGAGCAACCCATCTACACCAACATCTGAATACCTCACCACACTAGTACGTTTGAAATCCTCGAAATACTTTTCTTCTGATACTTGGCAATTGACACCGATATTCTCCTCCCATCGACCGAGAAGTTATTCATCTTTTCAATTGCTAGATGCATATCATCTTTGCTAGCAAAATGCACCATGGCAAACGTATTATCCTTATAATAAGGTCTCCTATTAACAAATGGAATGAACACCTTAATCACCTTACCATAATGACTAAAACGATCCCATAATGCACTTCTCTGCACTCGCCTACTAAGATTATCCACTAATGCAACCCACGATACTCCTCTAGACAAAGAACTACTTCTGACCGGACGATCAAAACCCTTCATACTCTCCCTCACTCTCTCTCTACCTTTCTCACTCATCTTAACTATAGAAATTGTATATTTGAGCATAGCTTGACATATGCATTTCATTCTCACAATTTATATAAATAATAAAATCGAAATCCAGAGTTTCAAACTTAAGTTTCTAAACATAGCATGAACGTTCTATTCCTTTAGCGGATATCAATATTTTACATTTCATTATTGAGTTATTAGTCTGGAGTAACCGGTTAAGCAGTTAAGCTTTTCTACATTTCCTTTGGATCCTTTGTTTTTTGGAATTGACTGGACTAAGAAACTTAGCACAAAACTTTGTCAATTTGGCTTAAGGTTGCACTTATTATGAATCCTCTTTTAGGATATCTTGAGAACCCAGTGGGTTATAAATAGCCTCTTAGAAATACGGACAACATGGCTACTGATCATATAGCATTAATTCTATGAAATGGTACCTTTCCTCGTGTTTGTGCTAAAAGTTTTCCTCCTATCAAACCTATGGGGGTAATCAAGGTTTTCCCTCTATTCCTGCATTTTTATGTTTTATTTAGCAAGGTTTTCATTTTTAACTATATGAATCCGGAGGACAAGAGATTGTTTTTGGACACTTAGGTCCAGTCAATGTGTTACACTTTGCACTTTTTCCCCTCCCTTTTTTACACTAATTAATTGTATTTATGATACTTTCTCCTATTTTATTTAAAAATTTTCAGCAACTCGCAAGGCATATGTATGGCTTTGTATTGATGTTGGCAATGTTTCAAACATGCATATGGAAAAATGAAAAGCATTTTCTGAAAACTCCCTGCTGGTATCCATTTGTTGTTCCCTCGTGCAAATTAGAAAGGTACGTGTGTCAAATACTATTTTAGACCGACTTAGGAAGTCAACAAGTTCAAATAGACATTCACATACTTATCCAGTGAAGCATTCTCTTCTATCCCACCAGAACTAATCCATGACTTACAAAGGATGCACTCTGCAAATGAGTCTACCAGGTCATCAGCAGTGGATTTTACTGGTTTAAACCTTTTCATTTTTCTTTTATGTCCTCAAAAGCAGAAAAAAGGGAAATTATTTTAGAATAGTAGTCTGTTTCCCATATGCAAGTTTATTTCAATTTAAGCAATTTGTGGAGGATGTTTTGGGTTGAAAGCATATCTATACTATCAGTGGTACTGCATTCCAGTGATCATGGTGTTGCAGTGAAAAGTAATTAATCATTCATTAAGTCTCTGTTTATTGTAAAATTTGAATTTCCTATTAAAAAACATTAAATTTGTTTGATTTGGATGATGATGTTTGTCTTGCTAATTGGATTAATTCATTGATTTTGAATTTTGTGTTATACTTTAGGTTTTTCATTTTTCCGGGATGACACTAGGTTGCGTGCTCTTCATTTCCTCGACCACATGCTTGTATGTATTTTGAATTTTGCTTGTCTATGACATTGCTCACTAACTGCAGTTATCTAGAAGTAACTTTCTTGAAATAAAGTGCTATAGAAATGCTAAAAAATAATCCTGGACGACAATTCTGTTTTGTAGGAAAAAGATAACATACAAAAGTCTGAGTTTCTAAAAGCTTTATCTGACATGTGGAAAGATTTTGATTCCCGTGTGTTGCAATATAAGGTTTGAGATTTTATTTTTCCTCCAGCAGTGCTGCCAACCCAATTTTGCTTACTATGCATCTTAAGTACCTCACTATAGTTATTTAGGACACGTCTTTAAGGATATATCTGGGAAAATGAATGAAGATATATTGGAAAACAAACTTGTTCTTGATTTCTTGAAGTGATTATCATGTGTAGTATTCCTACTCCCAGCCTTTTTCTCTCTCACGGGGTGATGCATCAAGATCTTCAAGTTTCATTGTATCGCTTTCTTATTTCTTACTATTTCTGGTTCACCGCGATCAACAAGGAGATATTAGTAGTTCCTGATATTATATATTGACTTAAAAAAGCAAGTTGAGTGAATAAGATTTCTAAATGCGGGTACTTCTGCCTCTTTGTGCAGAACTAAGGAATCTAGTTATGCAGCCAATGATTGTGCCAATGGTTCTCAAGATTGCAGAGTCGCAGGTGCTTGTTTTGCTCATAATAATTAACTAGGGTTTGGAGTATTAACAGATTGCATTTTTCTTATTTGTAATTGGATTATTAGAACTAAAAAAAGATTGGTGATTGTCTTGGCCTTTGAAGTATTTCCATGCTAACCTTTCTTAAAACAGGCAATGTCTTTTGATATTTTCAACACGCTAGATAATTTCTCTTTTGATAGTAGATTAACCTTTTTCTGTCTATCAAGATCTATTTCTGCACTTTTACATAAACTGGCCACAATTAGTTTTCTGTAATAATGTGTAGTCTGAGTTTCTCTTACCAGCTGCATCTTCTTTGACAACTTTTTTATTTTTCTTATTTTTTGCGCCTTCTACTAAATACTATTATAAGAAACAAAATTATGTTACTAAATAAGATACTTCAATATTTACTAAATTGTCTAATCATGATAATTAGAATGAATTAGAATATCAAATAAGATACTTCAATGTGTTATGAATGCTTATAATGAATGTTGTAATTTACATTTAAACCAGCATATCAAGATTTTGGTGCCTGATCTATGATGTACTGAAAATATATGTTCTCAATTTAGGACCATATCCTTTGTTATGGGTAGAAGGAAGATCTCTAAGAATAGTGTCTTACTGTGAACATATATCTCTCTACCAAGAAAACACAGAAAATTCTGTGTAATAATATGCCTATGGCCTGCTTAGAGCTTTAGTTGGATTCTAAATGAAACGATAAAACTGTGATTTCTTGTATTGTTGCTAAAAATTCAAAATGACTTCTACATTCATTTGGATTATACATTGAGCTGCTTGTAATAAATTCAAAGTTCCATTCATCAATTACTGAAGGTAATCTAACGTGAATATATAATGTTAAAAACCATGTTAAATTTCTCTCTGAAAGTTGTTGCATTTGCTTGGCTTTTTGTCACACATTTTTCCTTCATCTATTTGATGTGTGTTTCACTTTATCTTTTGGTATAAGAAGTGTTTTTCCCTTAATTCATCTCTTCTTTATGTTAACATGATGTGAATAGTGATGAAATCACATGTAAAAAACTGATATGGTTACTATAATCATGCTTTTTAATCTCGTTTGACCAATGAACTGATGGCTTGAAATGTATTGTAGGATAAAACTGATTTTGAGTCAGTTACATTCCCGACTCTTGTGCTTGTTCTGGGCACTGCTGCGGGAGAGACCTTGTTGTTGTTGGTGAAGCTTGCGGATCTTATTATTAACAAGGTAACTGGAGTAGTTTGATTCTTTAAAGAATGCTCCCAAGGGTCATGTGTTCAATTTTTCTTTTCCTGTATCTTTTAGTATAATCAGAAAAAAGGGTGGTCTAATGTTGTTTGTGAATATGGACAAGTTGCTATCCAGTAAAATATTTCATGATATGGATGGAAGTGATGAAGAAATAGATCTACGTGGTTTGGAACAATGTTAATATTTTACTTTTATGATTATTTTTCAGTGTACATTTCTTTTTGGATTCATGAAAGTCATTTAAATGGGTGATATAGGCTTCTGGCTTTCATTTTGTTTTGTTGTTTTATTCTTTCTTTCTCTAAGCTTAAGAAATAGGGTTCCTTACACCTAAGTTTGATTACATCACACAATTATGATAGAGTACTACCAGAAGTTTTCATAAAATTATTTTATATATAGACTTCAAATATACATAATCCTAAAAGGAGCAAAACTACTTTAATTATGACTTAACAACTTCTTAGTCAACAATGCAGAAAATAGATTCCTAAATTAGAAAGATTATGTGTAGTTAGATAGGATTCTATGAATATCTTTTAGTAGTTATAATCCCTAACTAAGGGATTATATCTTTTTTTTTTATAGAAGTAGGAGGTCTCGTTAAAAACCCCATTCGTAATTGACCCTTTCGAAAAGGAAAGGGTCAACCAGCGGAAGGAGGAAAAGAGTACCTCATTTTATTAATAGCACAAGGATACATTAGAGAACCTTTACATAACACTATACAAAGATGACTTCGTAAGACGCAGGAACAACCTGATAAAACAACCTATACTCAGCTAATCTCTGCCTTAGCTAACTTATCAGCTTCCCAATTACAACCCATATACCCGATGTACATAAAACTTAACAAATGCACCAAACATATTACATAAGACTTAACTACTCCACGAACATCAAAAAACCCACTAACTCGAAAAGAAAAAACATGCAGATGTAACCTTACTGTTAACCAATCTCCTTCTTTGCTAAACTATCTGCCTCCCCATTACAAGCCCTTGGAATCAACCTAACTAATAACACCTTTTCAGAAATGAGAGACACAAACTCTTTAACTAGAGGCGAAAGAAAGCAGGAGCAAAAAACGGGGACTGTATCCACTCCACTGTAGACTTACAGTCACTTTCAACAATCAACCTACCAACTGAAAACCATCGTGAAGACAAAAAGATTTCAATGCCTCTTTTAATAGCTTTTAGCTCAGCAACTGGTGGGGGACCTTGTCCAATATTCTCTGAAAACGTCAGAAGAGTGCAACTATTCCAGTCTCTTAAAATGCCTCCAATACCTCCAACCGAGCCATCTAATCTAACAGCTCCGTCAACATTCATCTTCAAAAAGTCAACATGAGGGGGTAGCCAGCAAAGCACTGAGCAAACCTTAGTTTTAGGAATTGAAATATCATCTACAAGAGATGGATCACCAATCAACACATCCTCCTAAATAGGGAACTTGGCTAGAAACCATTTAGATAACCTAAATCTAACAATGAAAAAAAGAGACAGACTGTCAAGAGATTATCCTTCAAACACGATTGCATTCCTAGCTTTCCAAATAGACCAAAATACGACTCCCAGAATAAACTTCCAAATCAACGAATTCACCCTCAAATCACCCCAAGAGCTAAGTAGAGATGGAGGGTCCTGGGGTAAAACTACTGATAAATCCCAAAAGCTTACTAATTTATTCTATAGTTCCCAAACAACAAAACACGAAATAAACAAATGTTGCACTGTTTCCTCATATTTCTTACAAAAAAGACATAGGATATCTTCACCTAGGAGCATACCTCTAATAACCAACTCTACTTTGACTGCCACTTTATGATGAGCTAGTTGCCAAAGGAAAGATTCCACACGCGGTGGAGACAGTCCCAACCACACCCCTTTTAACCACAGATCGGTACACACGGACACCTTACCCAGTGCACTTCTGCAAGATTTAACCGAGAATAGCCCATCTCCACTTGCAGACCAAGAAAGAAAACCTTCCACTGAATTTGACAATTTTATATCATTCAGTTTTAACATCAAATCCAACCATTGATCCAATTCCCAATTGCATAAATTCCTCCTGGTTTGAATATTCCACACCCAACAGTTCAATTCAAAATTGCCGAACTCAGCAACCTTGCCCCATTTGTTAGCAGAAAGCGCATAAACTCTAGGGAAAAGATTTTTTAAAGGAACCATCCACCCACGGATCAATCCAAAAGGATATGGACTTTCCATTACCCACTTGCAACTTAGAATAAGTTCTAAGACATTCTCCCTCCAAATTATTCTTCAAGAAATTATTGGCAATACATCTCAAAATCCAAGAAGATTAAGGAGAAATGACCTTACTAATAGACATGGTGTTGCAACTAATTTTCTGCTTTCTACATAACACTCTTTTCCATAAGGAATTCTTTCATTGGCAAACTTCTACACCCATTTACACAAAAGAGCCCGATTGGTAAGATTCAAGTCAAGAACACCGAGGCCACCACTATTCAAAGGCCTACAAACTGTGTTCCAATTCACCCAATGAATCCTCCTCTTTTCCGCATTATCACCCCATAAAAATTTGGCCATTAAAGAATTTAACTTCTGACCAATTTTGCAAGGCATTTTAAACAATGATAAGAAAAAGATAGGCAAGGAAGATAACACCGACCTCAATAGGACAGTCCGACCAGCCAAAGAAAGACAAGAAGCTTTCCACCCGGCAAGTTTGGAATTGAAGTTCTTAAAGACTATATCCCATAAGGCCTCTGAATTCATCTTAGCACCAAGAAAAAGTCCCAAATAATCCATGGGAAAAGAACCCACTGAACAACCCACTGCCAACGCCCAATCAGACAAAATTTCGTCATCGACATTAATACCAAACAATTTACTCTTCGCTAGATTTAAATGCAACCCCACCATTATACTGAAAATCCTCAAAACTCTTTTACATTTTTAATCTGAGAAAGAGAAGCTTGGCAAAAAATGATGAGATCGTCGACAAACTGAAGATGAGACAACCGGAAGGAGTCTTCAGATTTCCCAATAACAAAACCTTGGAACAGACCCATGTCAACTGCTTTAGACAACATCAAATGGTGCAGCTCTCCTATTATATTAAACAGAAGCGGAGATAGACTGCATCCTTGTCTAAGTCCCTTCGCCATAGGAAACTCTTCCGAAGGGGACCCATTTACAAGAACCGAGATTGAAGCTGAAGAAAGACACTGTGAAATCCACGAGCACCATATACTACCAAAGCCCATCTCTGACATAACCCTGATTAATATTGGCCATTTAATGGAGTCATAAGCTCTGCGAAAGTCAACTTTTAGAACAACCCCTTATAGTCCTTATTTTCTCCAATAATCGATCCCTTCATTAGCAATAAAAGCATAGTCCAACAACTGTCTCCCCTGTATACAAGCGAACTGGGAAGGACTAATGATATCACTAACACAACAACTTAGTCTCTTAGATAAGACTTTTGAGAGAATCCTATATAAACTGCCTACAAGGCTAATAGGTCTAAAGTCTTCCACATTCTCCGGATTTAACTTCTTCGAAATTAAAGTAATAAAGCGTGGTTTACCCATGCTCCCATTTCCTTCCATAGTAAAACTCTTTAAAAATTTTCAGAACATGCTTCTTTAAACTGGGTCGAAATTTCTTGAAGAAACCCATGGTGAACCTATCCGAACCTGGAGTTTTAGAGCTGTCCGATGAAGCTATAACTTGCCAAGCATCCTATTCTGAGAAGAACTCCTCCAGCTTTGTAGACTGATCCCCTGACAGCTTTGCAAAATCCAGAATTAAGTCCTCCACTACCATTGTTGATTTGGTATTAAATGTTGTTTTGAAAAAATCATAAATATGTGTCTTAATAGAGTGAGGATCTGAAACAACAGTCCTATTAATCTTCATGCTAGAAATTGCATTTCTTTTGCTTCTGTTCAGAGCACACAGATGAAAAAAACTTGTATTTCTGTCCCCATCTTTAATCCATCTAGTTCGAGATTTCTAAAACCAAATACTTTCTTTAATCCTATATAGACTCCAAAGATCCTTTCTGAACTGCATCACTTGATCCCATTCCTGAGGAGAAAGATCACCACCTTGTGCCTTAAATTCCAACTCATTAATTTTCCCTTCCAATTGGATAATAGACTCAGAAATCCCATGAAATTTTCTGCTTGACCAGTTTCTGATAGATTTTTTAGTTTCTTGTAAAATGCTGAAGATACCCATTCTTTTATTCCTCACCCTTAAGTTAACCATGGAAGATTTAACCGAGTCCTCAAAGCCTTGTTCTTAACAGATGATTCCACGAGTGAGACTGGATTATGATCTGAAAGAGACCTATATAATAGATTTTTTACTATATTCAGAAAATAAGTCAAACAATTCCCAGAAATAAAGAACCTATCAAGTCTGACCCAAGTAGAAACTTCTCTATTATTACACCAAGTAGGAACCTGTCAATAAGATTAGATTGCTGCAGGAAATTTCTAAAAATATCAACAGAATGCTAATTTTGGGACTTGCCCAACTTCTTTACCGGGTCCAGATGCGCACTAAAATCCCCCCAATGCAAACTGAAAAAGTTTGAGCAACAACAAACTCTAACAACTCCCTGAAGAATTCTTCCTTTTCAGATTTAACGAACGGGCCATAAACATTAATAATCACACTCTCTTCAACCGAATTCTTAAACTTCCCAAAAATTTCTATGAATCTGCCACTTAAGTGGTTGCTGGAAACTTCAAATTCATTATCATTCCACATAACCAGCAAACCTCCTGCAGACCCGACAGCTAGGGAAAAATTCCTCCCTTAAGAAATCCCCCTTATCCTTCTCCTAAGAACCAACGAACAATTTTCTAGCTTAGTTTCTTGAATAATAAGGGTGCATGGCT